GATTGTCTTTGGTTGGAGACACTACAGGATATGACATCAAACCGAGGTCAGTGGCGCTATTGCATCCTCTCCTGTTTGTTTTCTCAAAAATAAACAAAAACAAAACCCCAAACAAACAGAAAAAATTGTCACTCTCCAGTGTTGACTGTTTTATTTTATCCGCTTTGGATTCATATTTTTGCGTCCACGCATGGTTATTGTTTGTCTGTAAAGAGTAATGTTATATATATATATTATTTATTCAAAACGTAACCAGTTACAGGGAAATGGCAAATGTGCCACAACATATGAACAGAAAGAAAGTTGACGAATGTATTCATGGGTCGTGTAGGCATGTTACTTCCCGGTTGCCCTGCTCGAGGAACGCGAATGGCTTCTTGGTCCCCACCCAAAGCCTTCGGCTAGAAAGTCAAACCTGCAAGACAACAGGACGGAGTCCGAAGTCCATTGGAGGCCGGTGTCCAGTTTACTGAATAGGGCCTTTGGACGGGGTCAAATTTTCAGGGTGCCCAATACACCTCGATACCGCTACCAGGAAAGTGTGCATGTGGTTCTTACGCCTCTTTTTGGTTGGTTTTGAATCAGGGTTTTTAGCCAACTCCCCTAGGTGAACCATCACGACGAGATTGCTCGTTGACGTGATGTGATGCCTTGTGCACCTCCCTGACCCAACAGGAGGGCTTCTGTCAAGCCGGACATCTAATCATGCCTGGAAAGTCGAAGGGTAGAGGTCGAACGAAGTCCAGTCTCCTGGTCTTCCAGTTTTGGGGGTTCGACTAGAATTTGCGTTTCGGTCGGTAATATATAGTGGAGGAATAACTGATCCAAGTAAATGGGCCTCCACTTCGCTTTGCCCGCTGCCTTGCGGCTAGGTTCTTGTCAGAACTAAAGGCTTTGGACGAGAACCCTAATCGTTCTCCTGCTTAGTGGCTGGACACCCTAGCAGTACTCGTCCATCAAACCCCAATACATATGCATTGCGAGTTTGGAAGCGGTCAGTGATAACGACTTGCTGAAGGATGAACCTCACGCATTGACCTTGCTGCGAGTTTGGATTTAACTCACCGTTACTTTAGAGAGCATCTGAGGAGTTCTCCTAACCAAGTAGATGGTTAGTGAGAAAAGGATTTCTCCAGACCCCCTCCCGGATGGACGTTTATGGCTGCAAAGAAACAGCTAACAGCCTTAGACCAAAAGCGAGATTTCAAGGAGTCGACAGACTCCTGCTTTATTCTGGGTCATTCAACCAGAACAAGGATAATACATTCCGCATTTGACTCACAGTTACTTGTGAGTAGTAGTGTGGGATAATTGATTTTTATTGATTTGAGCTGACTATCCTTCGCACTTCATCTTCACGCACAATCCACAGTACACCGATGCAACCATACACTCGGAAGCACTAGACTCAAGTTTCGCTCTTATTAGAGCTCATCAGTAGTGTATATCCGCCGTCCCGTGCGGGATTTGAACTCCGGACCCATCACATGGAAGGCGTGTTCGTTACCACTGTAACAACCAGCTCATACCATGACTGAACCAAATTGCCAATTCATGTTTATTCAGATGTAGTCTTCGGTGATAGTGCTTCCGAGTGTTATTTTGCATCGATGAACTGAGGATTGTGCGTAAAGGTGAAGTCTGAAAGATAGTCAGCTCAAATCAATAAGGATAATCCACCCTTTGTCTTCCTTTTAATGAATATACATAGGTACAATTTTCAGGACGTGGTAAGCGCCAATCAAAGGGCTACCACACAACACCAGCACCTCAGTTGGTTGGTCAGAATCCATAGCCGTTGCGTACCTTTCTTGAATTCCGCTTCCAAGTTATCCTATCTATATAGTTGCAGTTTCATGTCCAAGGTTGCGTCACCTAATTAGATAGGTGTTAAATTAGATAAACGTCTGAGGTAGTCATCTGAAGCTCGATGTGATTTTGGAAAAAGTGATCCTTTATCATTTCAGTCACATAAAAATCAGATATTGTCGAACTCCGCAACTAATTATTTCTAATTTTTGATGACCACGAAGAGTGCCTGGCGCCTCTTAACAATCGAATGGGTTAATCCAAGCTGTCTGCCATAATATCACTCGAAAAATTCCAAAATTAGCTACAACTTGTAACCGTTCACTAGTTCACTTATATCGATTCGGTTCATGAATTATCTTCATCATTTTGCGCGTTAACCGATTGCACAATACGACCGGATATGGGATTGAAATGCAAGCAAGTTTCTAGCACAAGATGAGATTACAGGTGTTAATACAAAACCATACCATGAGCTAGGATTCAATATGTAGAATGAAAACCGTGAAAATCATGTCAGATTTGTAGGGAGCATCTATGATTAGAATAGAATGTTCGACGGCCCTAAGCGAAAAACACATCCCAATTTGCGCACGTTTCATTTTTTTATGGTTAATCGGAGTGTTTTACATCAAGTTGGAGCAGTTGATGGATCGTCTACATCATCACGAAGATTAGGTTTAGATCCGCGGCATTCCGGCTGTGACTTGAGACTCGATGCCACATTCATCAGTTCCGCGTAGAATTCGGAAATAACCGTCCTCACCCCATTCTTCGTTCCATGAGTTGGCAATCAACCAGTACGGCTGATCTTTTTCTTTACCCCAACCGAGAATGCGGACCGCATGACCGCCGAGCCATGCACCAGTCACGTGAGAATAGATTCCTTTCTGGTATACCATAAAGTCCTCATAGACCGCGAAAGCCGCTTCGACCGGGCCATTATTCATGATTTCGTACATGATCTGTTTTGCGTCTGACATGACATTATACGAAGAAATACCTGAAAAGTGAGAAATGAGGAGTGATGAACGACACATGACTAGATTATGCTTTATCAGAAGTCTACAACTGAGGTAGTAATTTTTTTGTAAGAAACGCGGTCTACCATGAGGTCCATAGTCAGGATCATATATACGATTTAGTCAATTATGGACAGATTACCGAAATCTAACTACCTTTCTACGTTTTGTTTATTCGGGAAGTTTGTGTCTAACAAAAGTGGGATTTTTTGGAACGGAGGTGGTTATTCCACTCCATTTGCAATCGGTACTGCTGTTTTAGTCAACTTCACCTGCTTCAAGCCATGGAAGTAGCTGAATCGCGGAACAACCGGAGTGAGTGAAACTGTTTAAATCGGGTGTGCGCGGTCATTAGGAACTCGCCGAAATAGCCCGGAAGAAACTTGAGGCATTTGGTCCCCTTTATCCTTTTCATTAGAGCAGGGAGAAGACAAATACTGCGAGATGTTATCATTACTTTCAATCAACCATCTAGTATTTACGCAATACAGTTGTCGTAACTACAGTGGTTTAACGAACAACAGTTAGGGTATCAGGGGGAGGAATGGGAGCCAGTCGCACGACAATTTGACGGATTGCGTCCGAAACGTAGTTGCACACAAAACTGGATTATGTAATATTAGAAGAACCACATAGTGTACAATACTTACAGATTGCTAGTGGCATACAAAAGATGTATGGTGAAAAATCATTTCATCGTACCAGGTATATTTACTCCTTGACAGGCTTCATAAGAGAGAACGCTGCTGGATAATGGTTATCCAGAAAAATTTATTGATGAGAGTACCAGACGAAGACCACAAGTTGGTCCCGCCTGTGAAGGGTTGGCCTTCAAAAGTGATTATCTAATGAATAACGTGCATCAGATGTTCAAGGCAGCATTGTGCCGAACATTTCTTGCTGCACATCTTCGATTGATACTGTAAACCTAGGGAATTCCCCTGGACAACCAAAAAAGAGCCAGCCGCCCAATTCTGCTTCACATGTTACCTACCATGTCACCTGCAGTTGTGGTGACATTTACATCAGCAGATCGAATGGTCCCGTGTCACAACGGATATCCGAACACATTCCCAAATGGTTATTGCAGTAAATGATGCAACAAAAATATCAGCGGGAAATTTTATAAGAGACATTCAGGGTCATCAATCTCTAAACATCTCATGACAACTGGACACATCATTGACCCACGTTTGTTTTTCAAGCCGCTGTTACGTAACACGAACCCCAGGCCCCAACTTTCAGCAAAGTGATGCTAATCAAGTTATGTAATCACATTTTGTGTGCACAAATGTTTCTGACACAGTCAGTCAAATTACCGTGGCACTGATTCTAATCCCCCCACTCACACACCCTACTCTGAATGTTGTGCGTTAAACCACTGTAGTTAGCACAAAGTTATTGTATAAATACCGGATTGTTGTACGATGTGGTGATTGAGGAGATTGAAAGAAGTGTTAACACCTCACAATATTTGTCTTATCTCTGTTCTAAATATCTGCAAAGTAAGTGGGAACTTGAAAACAAAACTGGTCTCCACCCTGACCTTTCGTGAATTTCTTTTGTGCACGAGTGGATCGCCTTGAGCTTTGATTGCACTAAACTCTCCAGGAATCATTTCATAGATCTTTTGTCCGCCTGTTTTCGTTTCTTGTATCTATGTGTTCTTTAATCTCCCGTTCAAGCCTGAGGCTTTCAATGTGGTGCCATTTGCAAACAATATTTAGGGAGATCTATACAGAATTCAGTGTGAACAGAAAAGAGCTCGTGTGAAAGAGAAAGACAAGTCGAGCCGCTTTCCAGAATAATGCTCGTGCTCGTGCTTGTTGGGTAAGAGCTTAAATGGTTTTAAGTAATACTAGAAAGGCAGAAAATAGTGCAAAATGCAAACTGGAGATGACGTTGCTATGACGAGTCGAATGCGATACTCAGTCTGCAGTACACTGTTGTATCCTCCTAAGGCTATCACCGAACCTGCCCCCACGATGCGCGTCCTTACGATCCTAGTTAAAAGACTAGTTACAAGCAGTGCGTCTTTTTTATAACTGCTAGCCATTGAAAAAAGGAGAAACGACTGGCATATATGGGGTTGATCACAGTCTAATCATTTGTCCAGACTACGGGTCACGGGGGCGCTGATGGGGAGAATGCACGATTGCGCATTCAGAATCCTCAAAAAGACGCCAACACAGTCTCACGGTGGCGGCTGATCCCAATCAGTTTTAAATTCGAACCGCGAAAATTCTCAGAGGAAATTTTGGCTTCCTCTGACACAATCGAATCCCGTGAAAGATTTCCATAAATACCCACCATTTCGAAATCCCTCTGTGTTGGATGAGAATATACCCTAGAAGGTT